AGGTCGTGTGAATGAAAAATGCAAGCAACTAATTATCTTGAGTATTGATATTTTTTAGTATCGTACGATTTGGTGATGCATACAACGTTCAATGACTTTTAAATTTTACTTTTTCATCAACGATATAATCTAAGTAATAAATCAACTTATTCAATAAATTTTCCCATTAAAGTATTATGCCCAGTTTACTCTGGAAATTAAAATAATGGTTTTGTTTAATATCTATTGGCAATATGGCAATCGAAAATTCTTAAACAATTTGTATTAATAGAAATTTGTAATGTATTTTTATTAAAAGGACCATTGCTGCGGCTATTATGTCCACCAATCAAATCTATAAATCTTACCAAGATTTATATAGATTTTGGTGAAAATAATACGCAATGGTTATGTCAATAACTTCGGTGCAGAAAGTATTTTGAGAATTTAGACGGTACAGCGTCACGATCGTAATATGGCCTACTTTGCTAACGAAGCATATCTTATATTAATTAAATTTATAGGAACAAAATTATGATATGCAAATCATCATAAATTACAAGAAAACAAGAACAATAGCGAATCGTTTTAGATTTCATAAAATACAATGCCGAGCAATTTTTCTCAGACACAATTTTCTCTTACGAGTAAATAAGAAAACATTAATATATCAGTAAGTTGCATTGGCGTTAAAAAACGAAAGAAAAAAACAAAATCAAAAATCAAAAACGAAAAAAAAAGAAGAAAAAAAAAAAGAGTTACAACAGCTTAATTGACGAAATTTTTGGGTCGCGGAACAGCCTCTCCCCTATTCTCCACTAATTCACATTATATTATAAATGAAGAAAAAAAAAAAAAAAAAGAAGAAAAGAAAAAGAAGAAAGATTGCCCAAAGAAAATGAAAAGTAAAAGAAGGAGTCGTCAGCTTCGTCTTCATAAATGCACGTGAGTATCGCTATCTCTTTTGCGTTTTTATGTTTGCTTTTTTCGTGCCGTTAAATCGATTGAATAAGATTAATAAAGAATCGTGTAAATTAAGCGTGCGTCATGAGATACCGAATTTACAAACTCTCTCGGCATCCATTCTGTATCAGCGATGCATGCACACGCACATGTTCGTGAGTCGCATACTCGCGTGCCTGCAAATACAGGCGCATACATCGCAGCAGGCCCGTTTGGGAAAAGTGAGCAAAGTAACAGTCGACTTTTTCAAACGAGTTCGCTCGTAAAACCGAGAGAGAGAGAGAGAGAGAGAGAGAGAACGTGAGCGAGAGAGCGGAGCTCCTAGGTTTCGGCTTTGGTTATAAGTTCGTATTATATTAGCTGGCTCCGAATGGCCGCTCGACCAATGGCGAGGCTCGTAAAAGCAGGGTTAACATTCGGTCGGGTTGTCAAGTGAAAGAGTGGCTTGAATTTCGTTGCACAGGGATCATTGTGAGCGCCGTTTAGGCGAGTGTAGCCTCAGCGTTGTGCTGATGCTATATAGGGTGTACACGCTGCCCCTTTGACAGAAAAAGAAAGAGAGAGAGAGAGAGAGAGAGAGAGACTAACAGAACGAGAGCGAGAGGGTGGGTAACGAAGGGTGAGAGAGAGAGAGAGAGAGAGAGAGAGAGAGAGAGAGTTGACAGAGCGTTGACAAGAATGTTTCAAAGGGAAATATCGTTATGACCGTCCCCATTACGAACATATAGATCACTCAAAAAAGTATTTTATATGTCCATGAAATTCTTGGATTCACTTAAGTTATTTCCTTTTCTTTATCTTAATGTTTATACATGAGAAATTTTTTTAACATTTTCAATCCTTCAAATTATTATTTACATAATATTTTTATTTAATAAACCTAATAATTTAAACATCCAGTTTTTAATAGGCAGTGACAAAGAATAATAAACAATACAAAACCATATAATGCAATCTATATTATCTATAATAGAAAGATATTTTTTCTACTAATTTTTATTACTCCTCCAAATAAAATATTATATTCGTTCTAATAAGTATTAGAAAATTTTTATATTTTTATTACTATAGTTATAGATAAGACTATTAAATTCTTATAAACTCCCATTAATTGTATACAGTCGTCACAGACTAATGACTTGCTATATTATAATTAAAAACGACAATTCGTTCATATTTTCTGAAAAACACATTTAAAGCGGAGTAGAGAACAATAAATATACATAATAATCAATTATCTGTTAAGACTATTGTCCCCGTACAGTCACAATTGCCTTATTTAAAACTCTTCATAAGAATTATTTCATTAACAATATGCATAAATCAATTAGAAATTATTCAATTATCAAATTATCAAATTATATGGAAATTTCACACTCGAGAGAAATATTTAGTAGGAATTCTGACGCTTCCTTGCCATTTGTTTATTAAAAGTAAATGCTTCCACGTAATTTCACGTTTATCGTTCATATAACGTTTAAAAGCAGGCAATTATTTGTTTTCATAGGCACAATTTTTTTTCAAGTATTTAGCTGCACGTTTTTCTGATCAGATGTAATAATACGGGTCTTTGTATCAAATCTGAACCATGAAGGTGGTCTTATTATCATGTAATTATTATTTATTTTATTACAAGCATTATACTAGAATGGTTTCCCTTGTATTAATTCCCCGATATCGTATATGATTATCCTCGAGTTCCCATAGCAGCTGACTCGAAGATTATTTTTTTTGAAATCTAGAAGTAGTGGTAGTAGTATATGATAAAAAAAAACAAACAAACAAACAAACAAAAAAAACAAAAAAACAAAAACAAAACAACAAAAAAACAAAAAAAAAGCAACCTTTTTCTCCGAAAATCTCTTCATTTTCTAATAAGAATGAATATTTCGGTTTTAAAATTTTTTCTTTTATTCTTTTAAAAAGACGTTCTCCACTTAATTATTAATAAAAATGTCGTTAAGATTAAAGTTTAATGTAAGATAATGCTATGTTGTATCAATATGTCTAATGTTTGCATGGTATCTTAATTTAAATTGACACAGTAGTAGCCTTATTTTTCTGCACGAGTAATAATATAATCGATACTGAAAACATTTCCATATGAGATGACAGAATAACAAAGAATTATTTGTTGAATTCTCAAAAATTTTTATTACGCTAATAATTCGTTAGTTTTAACGATAGTGTACTTGAGAGAGGATTTCAAGATGAAAAAAACATTATAATAATAACAACAACAACAACAACAACAACAACAACAATATCTTCAAGCTATGCCTGAATATAATCTTTGATTATATAAAAATTTAAATAGTAAAAAATACTTTTAGTTATAAAGTAACGTGATTTACTTATAATCAAATAGAATTAAAAAATTAATAATTAAAAAATATAATATTATACAATATTCAAATAGTCGGCCATTTGATATATAAGAACTTATAAGTCGTCGTCAAACTTAAATTAGTCTTTCATATCAACGGCAGAATAGTGTAGAATATAAATTTAAATAATCGTTGAAGCTTTATTTTTAGCCAATTATAAAATCATTCGATATAGAAACAATAATCAAGAGTTAAAAAAACTAATACTTTCGGAGAGTTTGCAAAACCATCTTGTGTATCAAGAATATTGCCATGATAATAATACTTGGCTTATTTAAAAGCTTTTCAATTAATCCTCCTAAATCGCGAATGTGTCGATCTTCATAAACAATTCGTATTTAGTTAAAATACCATTAGTGTGAAAATAATTTAATTATTCGATCGAGCATTATATAAATTATCATGGTATTATTTCTTTTCCCCTAAATGTAATTAATAATAGCGGTAAGTCATAATAATGGAAAATACACGTTATTCTAGTTTCAAGTATTTTTCAAATGTTTTATATACTCTGTTATCCATCTCTCTATCTATCAATGTATATACATACATACATATGTATATATATATATAACCATAAATAATGTGTTTTATAAATTAATTATATCCATGTAGATAAGTATCGGTAAAAAAATGTGTTAGGTCTTTCGGATTATCGGATTATATAATCGTTATTCAATGATTTCATAGAGAAATCTAATATTATAAGTATCATTGGAGATTAATAAATTTTTTTTTCTCTGCAATGTAACTAGATACGACGTTTGGGACGAATCTATTACAATCTATTAAAAGTACAGTGTCGTTTTTTGTTTTTTAATGGAATTTTATTTATCATCGTTTCTGCTGCTCATATTTGAATGATGCAATTACTTCTAATTAAACCGAGAGAGAGAGAGAGAGAGAGAGAGAGAGAGAGAGAGAGAGAGAGAGAGAGACACAAATACAAATAAAAGAGTAAGCTCTTCGATAATGAAAGAATCACATTATTTATTCGTGGTATAGAATATTTGCAATGTAATTCTAAATACGAAAGTTGTACTATGAAATGCACTAATTTTTTAATCTCATGTTATATGTGAGTCTCCCACCTATCAATTCACTTAACATCTGTCGTTCTATATATATATATATACACATATATATCATATTACCAAATTACCAAATCTCCACAATGATTAAAAATCATATATTTACTATGTATCAGCATATATAAGGATAAGGATAATCTGTAATCGCGGAAATGAATGTCGTAATTCGTAATTCGTCCATAATATCCACTTAATTCCTTTTCATTTTCATAAGAACGGATAGTACCTCGCATGCTCGCTATTAAATATTTTTCACGTTTGGGTACTTCGTAATGCACAAGATTCGCTTGTGGCAAGGCCAGGGGCAGGCGCTGGGTCTGGGTCTGTGGCACAGGGGGCCGGATGACGTGGATAGGCGCGATACATCTGCATGTTGGGCGGCTGTGGCGGCATGGTCGTTGATTTGTCAGTTGGACGTAGTTGTAAAGACCGCGACTGAAAAACTTGTAGTTGCAGGCGCTCACGCACCTGAGATATATAGATTGATAACTAGCCAGCAGACAGACATAGATTCAGAAGTGGTAGAGATTGTATGATAGAGAGATAGAGATAGATAGTGGGTAAGGTAATAGGCACTCACTTGATTCGGGCTCGAAGAGCGGCGTGCTGGGCGAGGTCGTGTGGGGCAGCAGGGGTGGCCGATTTTGTAGTATCGGTACGTTAACCACAGGCTCGTTGATGCCCCTACCCGACTCGCTGTTGCTGTTATGATTGCTGAGGCTGGGCATGTCGCTGCTGTTGCTGTCGTTGCTGCCGCTGATACTCGGCGCCGGTGGCGTCTCCGAGTCCTTCGATTTCGCCTTCTTCTTCTTCATCTCCATCAGCTGCAACAGAATCGTTGAGCTCTCGTATTATATAGCTCGAGGACACGCGCGCCTGACTCGGCGGACACACACGCGTTTACCTGCCCACAAATACAAGGGGATTGTGGTTGTAGTGGTGACTAGCTAGTGTACCACACGACGAAATGGCCCCTTTAGCCAAGCAGCCGAGTCTTTATGCAAATTGTACGTTATTATGATGGGTCCGCGTGGCGGTGGACTTTAAGCGCTGCTCGCTGAGTTACCGATTCTATCAATTGTTTGGTTTTAATTTATAATTGCGACCGGTCGATGGACGATTACGCCAGCTCGGGCATTATTGGCTTTCATGATGGCAGCATGAGCGCGAATTTCTTCGAAATATTATGACTTTTATTCAAATTCATCAACGACGAGCGAGTGAATAATTCACGATTAAAATAAACTCATGATAGCGATGAATAGAAATTAATGTAAAAAGGTATCAATTCGTTATCGCTCCAAACATCCGTTACTGATTTTGCAATATTAAAATAACTGAGTCATCCGTTAGAATAAAATATAAAACGCTTCAACTACCGAGTATGAAATAATAAGTAATCTAGTTTCAATATTGGGTTCGCAAAATAAATTAAATTTATAAATAACCTTTAAGCTTCAGTCAGTTTTAATTAATCTATTTAATTATTCACAGACTCGAGTTGAAATAGTAGTATAGTTAGCGGCGGTAGTATAAAAATTTTTAATTTGTAAAATAATATCATTTTCATTCGTAAAGGAACAAAAATCAATTCCACTGTGTATCGACATTATTCTATTTAGAATTATAATTGTGATGGCGAATGACAAATATATATTGAACTGCCGATTCAGGCGATTTTCATAGTGTAAAATATTCATGAATTCATTGCTTAATATTAATTTTAGGTAGTTTATTTGTTAATTGAAATTTTCAAATACCGATAGTATTTATAATGATTAGATGGACAAGTTATCAACTCTTTCGCAAAAGAATATAAGTTTCATGTTATAAATATCGACTTTTTTCTTCTTTCTTTCTTTGTAAATTACGTAGCTTGTCACAGTTATAGTTCAAATGAAAAAGAAAGTAGTAAATTGTCTCGAGATATTGCAAAAATTTATTAATAAATCAATTGCTCATCTACAGACTTTAGTTAGTAGTCTTTGCTTATTTGTATTCTTATTTCAATTTTTTATTTAATTCTTATTTAATTCTTACTTCAAGTAGAAATTAAAAATTTACGAAATGTAAAATCCAAACATTCAATACTCTTTATAAATTTTCCTTGTTTTATCCCAATATTTTGTTAACTTATTTACGTGTCACTAGACGATAAATCACTTATACGTAACATATTTTAAATACTTAAAAAAATTTTTGCAGAATAAACGACGGCGTTAAATTATTTCGGTCGTTGGCCACGTGTATGCAAAATTCATACATGACATTTGGCTTTTCTCTATTGTCACCCCTTCCACCCCCGTTCCTCACCCTCCTCACCACCTCCTCGCCCGTCACCATTGTACCCCACGGCTCAATAAACAATTGCATCTTCTCATTTTCAGATCATACGAATAATTAGATTGTACATTGGACTAGCCAATCGTTCGGATTGATATGGCGATTAGCGCGAACGAAGCGAAGCTCGGCCGATTTAACGTGAATTTTAACGACACGACGACGACGACATCGAAGCGTTGTGTTTAGAGCGCAGCGCCGTTACTAGCGAATCGAGCGATCGAAAGTGAAAGTGTAGGAATTACCATTTCATATTGTTGTCTCGCCCTTCTCTGGGCTGTCTGCACCTTCATTATCTGCTGTTTCTTCATTGTAAGGATGCACATCTCGCAGAGGCAGTATCTATACTCGCACTCGCGCTTGTGGAACTTAACCTCCACCTTTTTCCCGTGATTCTGGCAGCGCGTGCACTTTGGTATACGCTGACTCGGTTTGGCCTTTTTCGACGTCTGGCCCAGCGTTGACTCCAGCTCGCTCGACACCATGTCGTCAGACTGATCCATATCGCTCGCATTTACAACTCGAGATACCGACGCACTGCAACCATCCTTATTTCAAAGCAGTGCACATTTTTTTATCATCGCTGGTCCATCAAAACCTGTTTATTTACTTTATTGCCCTCGCACAATGCACATTGTCACTTGTGTATGTATAGTATCTTCCAAAACGGTCTTTTGCCCTTACTTTCTTATGTTATTCGCACCCGAACTTCAATAATGTATAACCATCACATTAGCAGCACGTTTTTCTCGAAATCCTAATGACGTTTCTCAGATACGACGATGCGCTGACGACGGGCACTAAAAATGAAAATTAAAACTTATTAAAGTACGTTGTTTCTTCTGAGGATACGAACGTATTTATAAACTCAAATCAATATATAAACATTATGTTACAAATTTATTATCGTATTATCTAAAATCCTTCTCGTTTATTACGTGAAAAGGAAGTATTATCATCATAATCATAATCATCATCATCATCATCATCATCATCATCATCATCATCATCATCATCATTATTATTATTTCTCCATAATTATAAGCGTTTCATATAATTTTCTATATTTTAATGGTGCATGCGCATCTATCTGCCCTAGAGGCTAAAAGTCAACAAAATAAAACTCGAAACGATAAATAAAAAAACAAAAACAAAAACAAAAATCATTAATTCAATGACAAATAATGTTAATTGATGAATTATTCAATAAGTTGATGTTGTGATAATAGGAAATTACAGATGTAAGATTAATTTGGTCTATGTGTGCTTAAAAATATTTTTCATTTTCATGAAATTCTTCGTTATGATTATAGCTTAGTCACTTCTCTCGTCGCACTTTCTCGTCGAACAAACGATTAATAGTATATTAAAAATTAAATTATTATTTTTTATTAACGCTTTTCTATAAAACACTACTATGTATTACGAAACCACAAACAGATGAACAACTACGAGTCGTTATATGCAGCACATTTATAATTTTAGTGCACCGCAGTTCCATCCATAATATTAGATTAGTACGGCCAAGGAATCGATCGCCGCACATCAGTCGATAATCTAAATCTGGAACGCGCAAAAATCGTCTGCACTAAAGTACTATCATTGTTTGTTAAAATGATGTTAACTCGATACCGATACTTTAATATTAAACGCTAACCCCGTCAACCACCACCCCCTCAACCGCCCGCCCTCACAATTATTCACAATGCTATTGACATTTTATTTATTGGATGCATAATTTTTTTATTCAATCAAAATTTATAATAGCCTGGATTAAATTATCGTACATGTTTCAAAAAAAATCTATTCGTACGATAAAGTAAGTGATATTCGATCAAACGAATTAAAGTATAAAATCACATGGCATGTATTAGAAGTGCAGAAATCTGTCTACGTATATATTTTCATCCTCCGACATTCGTGTCGATAAAAATTTTCGCTCTACAAGATTAACAGAAACTTGTCTTTTATAAACGCACATGTACACACCACCAACACTATCAATATATTCTCATTGGAAAATGTATAAATAGCGTTATGTATCTTTATTGAACCGACTATATTCGCATGAAAAGGCTAGTAACAAGTTCATTCACAGTGCAAATTCGACGTAGATAATGAAGGTCGCATGAACAATTTTATGGCGTGCATGCAACGACTGTCAATCGTTTTTGGTATTGTAATTTACTCGGCTTTTTATTTTCATTTACTTTTCAATTATCGAAAACTGTTCTTCAATGTTAAGAATCGATTCGTTGTCTCCATAAAATCACGAGCGCACGAATAAAAACTTTTATATAAAAAGATATGATGATATTATGTATCTATTGAACAAGAGTGTATTCTTATATTTAATAGAGAGATATTAAATTAATTTGGTTTATTCAGAATTAACATACTTTTTAAAGATTGATTTAAATGTGAATTTCAATAATTGAAAATTAATAATTACTATCGATTAAATAATTACTCTCAAGTAAAAAACAAAAACAAAAACAAACAAAAAAAAACAAAAACAAAAACAAACAAAAAAAAAACAAAAACAAAAAACAAAAAACAAAAACAAAAACAAAAAGCATTGAATTTTAAAAGTCAAGTGCAAGTATCTGGTGTGTAGTTTTTTTTTTCAACTTAAAAAAAGGTTGAATGAACAAAAAATTAAGTACATAATCGGTTAATAATTGTGTTAAAATAAAAGAAAATAAAAGAAAAATGTTCTAACATCGAATGACTGAATACGATGTATAAGAAGAAAATATAATCGTATATGCATAATTCGCGTATGTATTAATACAAACTTAATATAAGCTTCAAAGCGAGTAAAGACATAAACTAAATATGAATAGAGTTCATTAAGAATTTCCATTGCATTGTAAGATAAAAAAACATGCGAGTAAAGACATAAATATTGGAAATAGGTGGAAACCTTGAAGAATTGTGTATTACGAAATCGTATCAACTACGGTCTCATCTGATAATACTAAACCCTTAATTTTTGAGATAAAGTAGGGAAAATAATCAAACGACATTCACAAAACCTCAATATGATAATTGTAATTGTTAATTAAAGACTAATCAAAATATAACGTTGACGTTTACGTTACGCGATAATACATTGCATTACGATTGTCCGGAAAATTTGAAAACATAGTTGAACACAAAATTGAAAAACGAGACAAATTTTCAAATTACTAAAAAATGTGTTATTAGCATTAACATTGACACGTTTTTCTAAATGAGCATTTCGCTTTTTGATTATCTGGAATACAATCTTGTGAAATAGATAGCTTCTTCTTTTATAAGTCATGAGAATCAAAAAAAAAAAAAATTTGTTAAATAATGATTTCTACAATTAATAATTTATATTAATTTATACAAATACAAATAAATATTGACTATTATATTATACAAGTCATCATCTACAAGTACAATATTTATTATTAAATAAATTTATCAATCGTTAAAATGTGAAAAAGCATTGTACTGAAAGTATGGTAGAAGCAGCAGTCCACCAGTCCAGGCATTGAAGCAATTCGACTCAAATTTTAAAATCTTTTTCATCAATTGAATTGCTTTCTCATGTTATTTTTTATAATTATTTACAAAATTTATAAGGTATTTGACTTTTATCATAATTTATAACCATTTTAGCATCGATAGAATCATAATATTATAATAAGAGAATAAAATATAAATATAAAGAATAAAATAATAAATGTACTAATATATATATATATATATATATATATATATATATATCGTCTCTACGTTGATTGAAATTTTTATTTCACTACCTACTTTATGAACATTGAAAAAACATTCACTCGCTAAATTACATTACTTCAAAACATACACATTAATCGTGACAGAAACAATTAAAATTCACTAATCCTTCGAATTGAAAAATTAATCTTAATTTAGATTTTTCACATATAAACATTGTCGCTTGTGGGAATTAAATTGCTATTGCATATTTTGCGACTGTAAAGGGAATGAAATTATATTCGACTAAATGTCAGTGAAAAATTTTAATAAATTAAGCCACATTTGTCTTGTTCAATGAGAAGACGTTTATAACATATATTCTTGCGAGTTTTGATAAAATCATCCGTTCGTCATGGCCAAAAGTTCATCCTTCGTTAATGATAAGATTGGTTAAGCTGTTTACATGTACTTGAGATAATGTTATCGAAAGATGATATATCGATGATTGGAAACAAAGTATGGGACTGGATATTGACCAGATAAATTTCTTTCGCTGTAATCTAAGCAGCACCTACGTAAATGAATCAGTGAATTAATTCAATCAAATTGCCCAAGTGTCTTGGCAGGCACAAATAATTCGTCAGCGATCAGTTTTTCATCGAAATTGCCAACGAAACGAATTGACGTGCCGATAAATTGAAATTGCCAACGAAAGTCCACCGAAAGTGCCTCGGAGCATTCGATGACAACGGATGTGCGAGATTTGAAAATATCTCTCTCTTTTTTTTTTTTTTTTTTTTTTTTTTTTTTTTTTTTTTTTTTTTTTTTTTTTTTGAGAAAATTTTGCCTCGCGCCACTCGAATAATAGTAATCGCCGATTTGTCAACGATAAGATAAAAGTAAAATTTTTATATATTTTTTACTTCTTCTTTATAACGTCTACTACCGTTATCAGTAAAAATCTTACGATTATCATCGTTTATGTAAAAATATTAATATCTGCCGACTGTAATAATCAGTTATTTAGTAGTTATGGAGTCGATATTTTTATTTTGATTTCAGTTTCTGAGTAATGCTTGTTCCAGGAAGATATGCAAATGTAAAAAACGTAAAATTCTCCGAGCTCGATAGAACAATATCATTATGTTATAGGGTAATTGAGTTAATTTAAAGTTATACATTTTTAGGAAAAACTAGTGCGAAGAGAGACATTAATTTAGATATAAAATTCTGTGTTTTATTTCCCAACATGTCCAAGAATTGCGTAGTTAATAATGAATTTTTAACTATTTTTGGCACGACAGAAATTCGTGTTTCAAAAGTGTAATTTAAATTTTCATTTGAAAAGTTGATAAATACTATTTTAAGCTACTCGATATAAAATGGCGATAAGTAGAAAATTTAAAAAATAAAAAACACCAAAAGTATCAACCAAAAGTATCAATAAATTGTGTAAATGTTAAATTATTTCATGAATCTTGTCGTTTAATGCACACTATATATTATTCAGAAGTGAATTTAATTAGAAAATATAATGGCCATTACCGTATGTAGACACTTATATTGTAATTAAATTTTGCAGATCCCAGTTGTTTTTTTCTTCTCCTCTATCAAATGGCGATTATCATTATTCTACGGTAGCGCAAAGAGCTACAAAATACTATTTATTATAATATTTTAGTTATCCAGCGCAGTACACGCTTATTTCCTCAAACGGGCATAGGAAAAAAAAAAAAAAAAAAAAAAAAAAAAAAAAAAAAAATGAAAAAAAAATGAAAAAAATGATAAAGCTCCGGCATTCGCAATGTACAAAGTGTGCAATATACGAGCATTGTCTTCTAACGCAATCAATTACATTTGTGATCGAATGTCATCTACTCGGCAAGTCTCGCGTGTCCGAACCACTGACTTGGTTCGCGAACTGGCGAACTGACACGAGTTCAAGCAACGTAAACTGTAACGGCCGATCGTATGCTGCTCGTATAATAATCCATTCGAGAAAAGTGTGCGTTCCGGTTCTATTTTATACACATAGACACAATTTCCACGCTAAAGAAAGTGTAGCCACATTACGCAACGATTATACGAATCGAGTCACGAGGTCACATCTCTGAACGAATCGGGA